CGCTGCAGGCGCTGCAGGCGCTGCAGGCGCTGCAGGCGCTGCAGGCGGCACATTTGACACGTCTGATGTTAACATAAAAGACGAGGAGGAGACATGTTAGTTTAGCTGCAAATAATGAGATGAAGTTCTTATTTTCCTTTTTTGTGTTTGTTTTTACAACCCAGCAAGAGTTAATCCAGTTTGACCAGTCATGAGCAGACTGCAGCTTGAGGTTTGGACTGGTGAGAACACTGAACAGGTTTTGGCCCTGAACCACACCTTGGAACACACTGGGTTTATTTATGGGTCTGCCTTCAAGGACAGATTTCAAAGGGCTGTAACGTGTTTTTTTACTTGGTTTTTAGTGGACTTTACTAAAAAAAGGGTGGAAAAACCTTGCACTGGCGCTCACAGACAGGAACTCTGTTTATTTTGCAGCTTTGTCCAGAACATCACACCACAACATCATCGTTTGCATTAAGAGCATTGCATGGCTGTTACAGCTGCCGCCTCTCAGGGAGAAGGTCGCATGTTCTCCACCCAGCCGGGGGCCTTTCTGGGTGGAGTTTGCATTTTCCTTCCGTGCACACTTTGGTTTTCTCCGGGTAGTCCAGTTTCCTCCCACAGACCAAAAACATGCATGTTAGGCTGATTGGTATCTCTGAATTCCAGAGACCCAGAAAGGAGAAGCAGGTAAAGAAAATGGTGGATCTTTGTTTAGTTGTATGTGATCACATCTGAGCATCCTGCACTTAAAAAGCTGAGATCCTCTAACACCCACAAGGCTAACAGTCAGAGCAGAAAGGGTTTCAACCCTGTCGCTGTGGAAGGGACTAAGTCCTGGAAAGACAACCACAAGAGTCCTCTAGGCTACGACAGGTGAGATAAGAGTCTCTGCTCAGAGCAGAACACGTAAAAACAGCTTGAAGGACTTTCAGTCTAAGAACAAGATAATCTGGTCTAATGGAACAAAGACTGGATTGCTTGACTACAGTTCTAAAGATTATACCGTGAGGAAACCAGGGACAGTTCATGATCTGCTCAGTGCTAGGTGCTTTCCATAATTATTGTTTTTACAGAGCAGGGTTGTTGGTCCTACGTCCAGCTTCATCTGGCCTCTGTCCCGAGACTTGCCTAAAACCTGCCAGGAGCTTCAGCCCCCGCCGGTAAAGCTCTCATGGGTCATCGAGATACGCAAGCTCCCGACCACAACAAGGTATCAGCACAGAGGGAAGGCAGCCTCTGAAGGGGGCTAAGCTAAGCTCAGAACTAAGCACGGTGGTGGGAGCTTCATGGCGTGTGAACGTGGAGGCTGATCCGTTTAACAGCACTCAGAAGATGCCACGTGTGTTTTCGTTTGTAGAAATAAAATGCTTAAAGATAACCCTTTCATCTGAACATTTTACAGCACACTTTTTTAACAACTAATATTGTTTTTTAATGTTTTGTATTTTTTATTTATTTACATTTCTATATTGAAGCCATTAGCTGCAATCTAATGCATTATTGATCTCTAATTTAGCTTCTTTTTTTTATTGCTCTGTACAGATATGGGAAGAAATGAAATGGCTCTTGAATACACAACAAAGGGTTGTAAGGGTAAGAGAAAGAAAGAAGGGGAAAAAAGAGCCAGAAATGGCATTTTATTAAATCTTCTTTCATTTGTTTAAGGGTAAAGTTAATTTTGTGGGTTTATAAAACTGATATGCAGTAGAAGAGGTGGTTAGAAGTGACTCTTTGAGGCATACATGTCACAGAGTCCTGAATGGTTTCCAAACTTTTCAACTCCCAGCACAAACTTACAGAGGCAGAGAACATTTCTGGTTAAAGGGCATGACAGCCTCAAAAAGCATTATTTATCTTTTTTTTTATCCCCCATTTATCTCTTGCAACAATTCTAGCAAAAACATATACAATTAGCAGTCATTTTTTCTGTTTTTAAAACCCTTATCTCTGTGTTTCATGGCCCAACATATTCTGTAGAAGTCACCCAAAACTGTGAAATAACAGTGAGCACAAGAACGGAGCTGCACATTATTTATTTCATAAATGTTTCCGAGTAGAAGCACAAAAAAAAACCCACACAAAAAGTCCTATATTTTACACATTTCTCAGTTTTCTTTAAAAACTAGTGCAGCGACACCGCGTCTCCATGGAAACAAAGATGGCCTCTCACACCGGATGTAGTTTCTCGTCATTCAGTTTAACTTCCGGGTACAGACGGTCTGCATGAAGGAAAATCTGCCTGCTAATTGATTTGGACCAACCTCTCAGTTAATTAAAGATCGCAGAATGTCCCGAGGATCCAGCGCAGGGTTCGACCGACACATCACCATCTTCTCTCCGGAGGGGAGGCTCTATCAAGTCGGTTAGTTCGTGGCTCGGGTTGCGGGATAGATGCCGGTGTCTGCCTCACCTGAGTGCTCGCGAGCTAAATGCTCTGTCATGGTTCGGTTAGCTAAGCTTTAAACTGACGCATAACGCCCGCCAAAGCGAAAATACTCTCAAATATCACCGAGAAAGTGTTGCTAATGATACGAGTGTTGTTATTTCATGGCGACTTCTGAGACGCTGGCTTGTAATAAAATATCAAATGTAAATAATTAGCCTGATGTTAAGCTAGTTAGCATGTTAGCATTTCAGCTAAGCCTGCAGAATCATTAGGAAAAAGGCAACTGAGTTAAATAGAGCAGCCGAAAACACGCTTTTTTTTGTTTTATTTTACACTTGTGATTTATTTTGACTTTAAACTGGGTTTATTTAAACGCTAAATAAGCTTTAAGACTTATTTTGCTCTTTGAAAACAATAGTTTATTAGAGGTTTGGATCAGATGGTGGGAATGGCAGCAGAAGTTGAAAGGCAGATGAGGCTGGATATTATTTAACACACAACTTTAAATGGCTCAGGTAAACAAACTACTTCAATATAAGTTCTGAAATTATTCCCAGGAACAAGAAAACATGTTTTTTTATATATATCACTGGCTAAAACTAGTGCTTGTGACCCTTTTTGTGTACTTTGCTGCTGTCACATAAACATGGATACTTTATAACACTATTCTTATCCTCTTATAGAATATGCTTTCAAGGCTATAAACCAAGGTGGGCTTACATCAGTGGCTGTCCGGGGGAAGGACTGTGCAGTCGTCGTTACACAAAAAAAAGTACCGGTAAGTCCATGGACTCTGTGTTTTATGTGGTACCAGAGACATGCAAATCTGACTGGACGTTGTTTATGTCTTCTAGTTAACTTTTGGGGAAGTGCACGCTTGATTTAGGGTTATTTTAGTGTCTTTTTAAGGGGTTAGGATTATACACACCAAATTATTAAGCCTTAAATGTTTTAAATTATTATTTGTGTTCTTTTTGGACATGTGGCATGCCTTTCTGGGTCTAAAACTATGAAGATTTTTATTTTTTGTAAACGACAAATATTTCAACACCATAACTCAGGCTTCCCTCACAGACTCTGGAAATCAGGAGAACCTGGAAAATGACTTTTCCATTTTCCAGACAGGAAGTACTCATGGATTTTGAACATTTATCCGCTGAATAAAATATGATCTTTCTGAGATTTGATGTTTTAATACGTCTTCATTGGGCAGCACGGTGCCACAGTTGGTAGAGCTGCCACCTCTCAGTGAATAGGTTACCCCGGTTCAAATCTCGGCCGGGAGCCTTTCTGGGTGGAGTTTGCATGTTCTCTCCGTGCATACGTGGTTTTTCTCCGGGTACTCCTGTTACCTCCCACAGACCAGAAACATGCACGTTAGACTGATTGGTAACTCTAAAATTGTCTTTAGGTGTGAGTGAGAGAGTGAATGGTTGTTTGTCTCGTTTGTCTCTGTGTCCCTGTGATGAACTGGAGACCTGTCCAGGGTGTCCCCTGTGACTGTTGGATATGGGCACTAGTGAACCCCTCGACCTGAAATGAATATGGATGCACGTGCACATGTTTAAGGCTACTGTATGCTTACTGTCATGTCTAAATGTGACTCTGCTCACCACCTAAATGAAAGTGTTCTGAATGTTTTGTGTGACTGAAATGTCTCCTGGAACTTCAGAATTCACTCAGACAAAAAATTCTGGAAAAACTGGGACTTTTGTTTTCATGAAATGTTGGGAACTCTGTAACACCTCTGACTTCCATCGTTCTTTATGTGACGTCTTTCGCAGGATAAGCTCCTGGACTCCTCCACAGTCACCCACCTTTTCAGAATAACAGACCATATCGGATGTGTAATGTCTGGGATGACTGGTAAGATGTTTACTGAGGTTAAGGCACAGAATCAACGCTTACAGACGCAGTGTGAATGTTTTTAAATGTTGCATGAAACATATGAGTGTCTGGAAATGTTAAAATAAAAAAACAGAATAATTGTCAGAGATGTAAAAGTTGATATCAGTTTAAGGATTCATCAGGTTTGTACAGAACTATAAAACTCGTATTGTTCCGAACATCTAAACTGTTAAACAGTGTTGGCTTCAGGGCTTCGAGTCAGTTTGTTGTTCTTGTCAAATCAGTTATTTACTATCATACCATGTAAATTATTACAAATCTGTCAACATCAACAAAGTCTGTCCTTTCCTTCATGTGGTCTCCTCTGTCAGCTGACAGCAGGTCTCAGGTCCAGCGAGCTCGCTACGAGGCGGCCAACTGGCAGTACAAGTACGGCTACGAGATCCCAGTGGACATGTTGTGTAAGAGGATCGCAGACATCTCACAGGTGTACACGCAGAACGCCGAGATGAGACCACTAGGCTGCTGTGAGTGCACGCACATCTCTACTTGGAGTTTGGCCTTTACTCTGAAGTAAACACGTCCCAAAAAAGTTGCGTCCTTTTCTGCCCCCGTGCGGCGCCTCTGAACCCGCAGGTATGATCGTGGTCGGAGTAGACGAGGAGTTCGGCCCTCAGGTGTACAAATGTGACCCGGCTGGTTATTACTGCGGCTTTAAGGCCACCGCCGCCGGCGTGAAGCAGACGGAAGCCACCAGCTTCCTGGAGAAGAAAGTCAAAAAGAAACTGGACTGGACCTTTGAACAGACGATCGAGGTAAAGAAGAAATGAAAACTGTGCTGATGCAGCAGATGTTGATAAGAAGAGCACGAGGGTGAAAATAACCTGCAGGACTTGCGGTGGTTTCCAGCTGTTATCTCGTTTTATAGACGTAATGTACACGATGTGAACAAAACAAAAAGCTTCATAAACTTTATCCTAGCACTATGCTGTCTTTCTCTTTCGACCTCAGACGGCCATCTCTTGTCTGTCCACCGTCCTCTCCATTGACTTCAAGCCCTCTGAGCTCGAGGTGGGCGTGGTCACGACGCAGGACCCCAAGTTCAGGTAAATCACTCAACCTTTATTTATACAGGTAAATCCCATTGAGCCTCGAGGACTCATTTACAAGAGAGACCTGATTTCAACAAAGAAAGATGACAACAATGGACAACAGCAACAACAATAAACAGTTATAAAAAATAAATTAAAAAAAAAGCATACTACAGTTTTTTTTTTTTGTTTGTTTTTTTTAACAAATAGGATGGCTAAAAGGAAAAGGTAACAAAACAAAAAACAGCTAGATTCCAAGACAAATGTAGAAAACTAACAACAGGAACATGTCAGCATTGGTCCCTGCCAGGTGTCCAACAGATTCTTAAAGACACTTAGAGAGGTCAAGGTCGAGAGCTTCAAATCTTTTTGTAAGATATTCCAGGAAACAGGAGCGGAGTAGGAGAAGGCCCTTTTGCCTAGTTCAGTCCTCATTGAGGGAACACTGCAGGTAATAATGTCCTGAGAGCGCACGCTGTAGCTGCACTCACGCAGAGACATGTAGGAGGAGATGTATGAAGGCAACAGACCAAGAAGTGATTTAAAGATGAAAATGTACCAGTGAGAGAGTCTGCGTGAAGTTAATGATGTCCAGTTAACCAGTGAATACAGGGTGCAGTGGTGGGTACGATAATCACAGCCAGTTATGAATCTTAGTGCACCATGATAGACAGCATCCAACATCTGCAAAGTTCTTGTAGGAGCGTTCATGTAAATAATATCACCAAAATCAATTGAGGGAAGGAAAGTCACAGATACAAGGCGTTTTCTAGCATTCAGGGTTAGACAGGATCTGTTTCTGAAAAAGAAACCCAGTTTAACTTTCAGTTTCTTTATCAAGTTTTCCACATGGAGCTTAAAAGAGAGATGTGAGTCGACCAAGATACCCAAATATTTATAGGAATCAACAAACTCAATGGGGACACCATTTGAGGATAAAATCAGAGCAAGAACTGCTGGGACCAACTTCCTATTTGAAAAAAGCATCCCTTTGGTTTTGTCGGCATTTAGGACAAGTAAAACCAGCATCACTCAGATTCCCCTGGGTCACTTGCCTTGGCAGGGTGCGCATCTTTTCAAGACATGTCTGTGTTGCATGCTGTTTGTGCTGGGGGGGGGGGGGGGGGGGG